TAGCGCGTTGATCTTTATGCCGCTCACCGCTGCTCGAGACGCGCACGCGGCGTATACGTATTATGTCGTAGCATTTGGCATATTACTCATACGCCACGGTATGCTTTGCTGCTGCTGCTGCTACTTCATGATATGAATAGCTGTGATGTAGTTGAAGCTGTGTGCGTTCTAGGTGTGACATAGTAAGGTCTGTGAGCGTTGCGTGTGTGTCTGCTCGTGAGGGTATTAGGAAGATTTAAGGGAATAGCATATCGAAAAGTGAGAAGTCTTAAAGAAAATTTGGAGCTTTACAAGTTTTACAAGAAAAAGAATAGTTGTCAGTTGAGGAACAAATTATGCTTAGTAATTGGTCCAAATTTTAATGCTTTTCCAGCGATTTAATAAAAGTATATAAATAATTAACAAAATTCGCTGGCAGAGATATATGTGCTTAATTGATATTTGCCCATTGAAATATTAACTGCCCGCTTCTGTATGGCTTGCCTTGCCTGCTCGCATGCATTCCAAGGTAGGTTTGTATATGCCTGGGCTATTTTGTGAATATAGCCAGACGACACCCAGTTGACAAATCTAAATTACAATAGAAATGCTGAAAGGAACAAGAAAACAACAGAGCACACACACTTACACACACACACACACACACACACACAGACAAACAGACAGACTGTGAGATGGTGTTAGGTGCGCAGGGGCTTAGCATGTGCTTTGGCTGGCAATTAAATTAAATTTATTTAAATAAAATTAATTTGCTAATCTTGTTGTTGTGATTTGCATACCCTGTTCTGGGGCAAAATGTGTATATTGAGGTTGTGCATATGCATGTAACATGGAGCAGGCAGCTTTAGGCCTAGCATATAGCTATATATATGCCTGAGAAGGGGCTGCTGCCTAGTCGAACTGGCCAGGTGCATCCCTGTCCATTCTTTCGTCTGTTTGTGTTTGGAATTTAAATGTTTTTGACATAATATAACATTTTGACATTAATATGGTTCTCCAGTGTCCAATGAGATATAAAAATGATTCATGTATTGTTATTTCCTTCCCGGATGTTTGACAGATATTACAGATATGTTGAGCGGATTTTGGTGATCAGACTAGGTGCAGGGTATCTTCTGGTCGGGTGCTCACGACTCGAGCACTTTGACTTGTTTTTGGCTGGTCTCTGGTCTCTTACGTGATGGGGTCTGGCCTGGCTATATGTCTATCTCTGTCTGTATCTGTGGGTTTCTGGGCTGTGCTATAAATCTGCCAATTTCCATTGTTTAGCCATTGCGGCTATACTAGATGCCATGAAATACTACTTAGCATTTGGCTGGTGGTGGAAAGTGGGTTGTGGGCTGTGGGCTGGGGCTAACCCACTACTTTTGTCCGAGGGCTATTTTTGTGTGTGCATCGGACATGCATAATAGAAACTGTGTGAGAATCGCAAACTGCAACTCATTGGAGGCCCCCAAAGTGACAACTACGACATCTTTGCTAGCCGCTTGGTGCCCAGCATGCGATTAGTTCTTCTTCTTCTTCTTCTTCTTGTTGTTGCCGACAGACGGAATTTTCTTCATTCCATTATGTGCACAGCGAGTGAAAATCGCATCTAAGCATTTTTCTATTGAGCGACGAAGGCAAAAGAATACCAGAACCTGGGTAACCGCAGGGGGATGAGGCTGTTGGTGGGAGGGTGGGGTAGAAGGACGCTCTGGCCTGGGATATGGCCTTTTTGGCGCTCGTTCACACAGAAAAAGTGTCTTTTCCGTAACTCTTTGGTATTTTTGCTCAGTTTTTACTTGAATATATTCCGAAATTAGTTTCTGTTGCTTATGTATTTTTAAATAGCCGCCACAAGAACTGTGCTAAACGCTCTCGCCAGCCTGTCTATTTTGATTTGTTGTCCAAGTGCCGTCTTTGTCAAGTGATTTCATCATCAGCCTCACCCTTCGATCCCCCCTCAAATCCATTGCGCACCAAGCACGCGCGCCGATGCGTAATATTTTCAACATAATCGCGCATACGCCGCGTTTCCATAAAGACCAAAAGGATTTTTCTGCTTAGTTGATTATTTCTACACGGCATACACACACAAACTTCTGTCCACTTAAATTTGTTGTTGTTCAATATTTTTTATGTTTTTGAATAGTTTTTTTGTTTTGTGGTTTTGTAGTCCAGCTTTTTCGACTGCCCTGGCAAAATCTAATTATAGGCCTAGGCCCAATTGAACTTAGGGGACGGGACGGGCCTGTCGGCTGGAATTTAATTTATCAACCATTCACACGAGGCAATTTTATGATTTCCTGTTCTTAGTTTCTTTAGAACATTATTTGTTTTCATTTTTGATATGCGTACTAATAATATTTATATCGAGTTCAAAGTCTTTTTGATTGTCGGCAGTTTTCTTTTCGTGTCTCTCCATTTAATGGAGGTAAATCGTGTTGAAAATTAACGATAAAACGATTTTTATATTGTGTTTAATGTCGTTTGTCTACAAATTAGTAATTAATTCGATTAACCCTCCATTTGAAAATGTAGAAACTAAACTAAATTATGTTTTTTGTACCCTGAACCCATAAAAAATGTATGTAACAGGGAGAAGAAAGCATCTCCGACCCCATAAAGAATATATATTCTTGATCAGCCTCAATAGCCAAGTCGATCTAGCCATGTCCGTCTGTCTGTCCGTCCGTATGTATGAACGCAAGGATCTCAGAACCTCTAAGAGCTAGAGAATTTTAGATGTAGATGCTCCTAGTTCCCGCGCAGATCGAGTTTGTTTCCGATAATCCATAGCTTACTCCGTTTCCAAGCAATCGATAAAAATCGATATCGATATTCTGTTTTTTGGGTAATTTTGGTTAATAATAAGAGCTAGAGTCACCAAACTGGACATATAGCTTCTAAAATAGAATATAACTATGCATTTGATGTTGGAAGAAGAGGGTTCAGGGTATCCGCTAGTCGGGAGCTCCCGACTAGAACCTCTTACTTGTTGTATATATATTCTATTATTTTATAGCCCAGCTATTATTTGGCTAGTTTTTCTTATATATACACACACTTTGTTTAGGTTTTATGATTTAAATATGTCTCGCAGTTTTATTAGATAATCAATTTCGCCTTCTTTGCATAAGAAACGCTTTGTCCACTTGACTCGTGCTCAGATCCAGGCTAGGTTGATTGTTTTTATTGGGATTTTATATAGTTACCAAAGATTAACTTTTAATAAAAGTCCACTGAGGCATTCAACTTTTTCACAGATTTCTTAGTTTTATATGATTTTTGAGCTTAGTTTTGAAGAACACGTTGGTGCATTTTTATTTTATTTTAATTGAAACTTTGCCTATATATGTCTACATTCTCACGATATTTAAACGTTTACTTTTAAGCTAATTATTCAGCTTAAGAACGGCATTTTTATAGAGTTTGTTATTGTCTCTATATTTCTAGTTTGTGTGAGCCTTTGGATATACCCTTGCATAGGGTAGTATGGCTTTGCCATAAAGTGTGTAACATAGAAGGTGATATCCCTATAGATATGTATATATGCCTTATAAGCATCAGAAGTAGTATCTATATAGTCTTTCTGTCGGTTCGTTTTTCTGTTTTCCCGCAATCCATTCTCAGACAATTTAAGGCTTAACGCATGAAACTTCGCATAGATCCCTGCTTTGACAATATATTGTGCATATGTGGAACAGATTCGACCGGATCGAACTAGTATATCGTTCAGCTGCTATTATTATATTTTGATTATATATATCTCGCCAATTTAATATACGAATGTTTGCAAGGGCATTTAATATTCGGCATGCCGCTCTTGTATTTACATATATTTTTATATTTTTGCTTGCCACGCGCTTAATCAAATTTTTATTTTTATTTTTTTATTGTGTCACTTTTCCACATTTTTTGACACATTCTTTAGGCGTTTTTGTTTATCTAAGCTTTTAGTTAAATATTATTTTGTACACCTGTTATTATTATTATTATGGCAATTTTTTAATGAAAATTTCTGCACAAAACACAATTTTGTTTTAATTTACATATCCTGCATATTTAATTTTGTATTATTTTATTTATTTGAATTGTCGCATCATGTGAATTTTCATGGTTTTTCCCGCAAAGATTTCGATTAGTTTTTCATGGCGTGCATTTTCTTTCTTCAGCTTAGCCAAGCGCGCACCTTTGTTAACCGTTTGCTGCTCGCATCTGAAATGAAAATATCCGAAAATGTTTCAATTCTTTCGGCTTTAGTTGGAGATTTTCTATTTTTCGAATGTCCATCTCTTGACAATTTTTTCTGTGCGCCTTTCGATGCTGCTGCTGTTGTTTTTTTTCTGTCTTGTTGTTGTTGCCATTTGTTTTGTTGATTTGATTTCTCGCTCGTCGCCGTCGTCGTATGTGGATGTCTTTGCTCAAACGATCTCGATCTCATCAACAGCAGCATCATCGTCATCATCGTCGTCGTCGTTGGTTCCATGTTCTAATTAATGAGCAAGCAGCCAGCGAAGAGAAATTGTTGCAGTTTTGTACTCGCAATTTGTTGTTTAATTAATTGGCTGCAACAAAATTTAGTTAATCAAAACATTTGTTTATTCATAATGCACATAATGAGCATCAAGTTGTAGTCCATCTGCTACTCGAGACACAATTGACATACACACACACGCACACACACACGCGCACACACACAAATCTGAATACGAAAATCTCACAATTCGTGTGCATTATTAATTTGCAATAAAAATGTGGAAGCTGCAGCCGACAAAAATTTACAAAAATAAATTTTGGTACCTGCTGCTGTTGAATTATGTTGACAACGCCTGACACATACAAATGGAGGCGCATTGGAGGCGCTGCTGGGCCAAATCCCGCCGAGAGGGGCTGCACTTTTTCAATTCATTAAAATGCCAGAAATACTTATTTATTATTGTCATCTCGAGCGCTCGCCTTGCGAATTTGGGTTAGCCCAAAAAACTATTATTAATCTAGGGTTTTACGAGAGCTGCCTATAAGCTAAAACATTGCGCCTCCGACAAGGGCTTGCACTGCTGCTGCGCATAATCCCAGCCGTAGTTGTAGGGACAACGCACTATGGTCAAGTAGCCGCCGATGCAGCTGTAATAATACTCGCAGCGCTCCGGATGCGGATGATAGCCATCGCCGCTGGCATCGCAATGTGGCCTACTGCCTGCTGGAGTAGTCGTGTCCTCTGTAGCCGCAGTGCTGGCAGCCTGCAATTCATCATTTTCATCATTTTCATTATTTTTACTGGGCATCGCTGCTGCTGTTGTCGTCTCGCTAGCTTCCAAGCAAACACCAGCATCATCGAAGGCGCATTCCTGCGCCTTTGCATCGAAATACGTTTGGTTCGGGCAGCTGTCCCTGAAGGAGTTCTCGCCATTGCAATAAATGTAGCTGGCACAATCGTCTATGGCCATGACAAAGGTATCCACATCCACATTGGCACACTGCGGAAACACATCCGCCTGACTGGAGGGTAGTCCTACTGCCAGGAGCAGTAAATAAATCGGTTTGATGAGTTCTTTCAGCTGGCACATCTTGTATTGTTGGAACTGTTGCTAACTTTGGTTTGTTGCAAATTCGAACATTTTATCGGCTTTTTATGGCAATTTTCAAGGTTATTATGAATCATTTATCAGCATTTTTATCACGAACACGTGTACCATTATTTTGTCAAGACTTATCTATTATTTTGTTGGGTAAATGTGTCAAGGTAGCAAACAAGGTCAATACAACTTAGAAACTACTATTATTCAAATAATCATCTGCTACATTTCAAAATTATGTGGACCCAACAATTATAGTGTATAATAATAATAATATATAAAGAGCATATTCAACTTTATGACCGCTAGAAAAATGGATTGAGTTAATCGGGAGGCCCACTGATCTAGGAAAGGGAACTCATGGGTTTAGTTTTCAGTGGGCGGCCTCTTTAGAGCAGAGGGTTATTTAAAAAGCCAATGGTATTTTCGTAACTGTCAGAGCTGGACTTAACATCATTTGAATTCATAGTCAATCTAAACTTGCAGCATGGGCCTCTTTTCCTTGCCTTCCAGATTGTCATTGGTGGTCGAATAGCCGGTGCCGCCCTGTTGGAATAAAATTCGATTATATAGAAAAATCAACTTCGTTAAATTGTCCAGTTTTGTACTAACACGCTGCAGTGGTATTATGTCCTTATCCTTGAGTTTGCGATCGGTAAGGGGATGTATCATGTCCTTGCGAATGAGCTTCTCAACGCATTCCATGGTCACCACATCGCCACTGAAAATATACGTGAATTATAAGCATTTTCATTAATAATTCCTTAATTCTTACTTACGTGGGACGCAGCACGGCACATGCCACCGCATTGCTAAGTACGTCGTGTGTGATGGGGCACATGTAGCGCGCCTCCTTGGCAATAAGCGAACGTTTGTTGTCTCCATCCTTGAGCAGCGTGAACTTAACATCGATTAGATCCTTGACCCTTAGCGGCTGCTGCGAGACGGGGCAATAAATGGTAGGGTCGGGCTTCTGAGCCCGGGCAGCGCCTGCATTGGGACACTCTGAGGGTAGCCAAAAACTAGGCAGCTTTTTCTCATGGCCGTTGGCCATGTTAGAAATGGAGCTGTTGGATCTTGAACTCGTTGCTGCTGCTGCTGCTGCTGCTGCTGCTGATGTGCTTGGCCTGGCATCCGGCTGTGTGGTCTTTGCTACAGTAGCGCTCAGCTTATGGGAAGGAGTTGTGGTTGGCTTTCCGGCATTAACAAATTGCTCCATGCGCTCCAGTTGCCTATCAGTTGCCTCCTGTGCCAATTCGTTTTGCTCGACGCGACGCAGGCGCTCGTATTCCTTTAGTCTGCGGCTGTATTCGTTCTTTTTGGTGACAATGTACTGCAGAATGGCCTCCTTGTCGAAGAGGTAACCATCTTTAGTTACCACCGGATTCCTGCACGGCTGCAATGTCAACGAGCAGCAATCGAATGATTTTACTGAATCCTTGCCAAGCCGCTGGGCATTCGTCCCATATCCAGATTCGGCTGCATCGCGTTTCTTCTCGTTGTACGTGTAAACAGCTCCGGCGGTGCAATTGCGTGCATGTCGAGTCATTTTCGGTGATATTTAAAGGTAAACAAGTAAATAAACAACTGCCAGGGAACTAGCAAGAGAGATAGTTAAAAATTATCTATCGCATTAAGTTGGCAGCTCCATGATAACTATCGATAGTTATATCGAAGCATATGATGTCAGTGTCACCATATGCGATATATAATAAATGGTCTAGTACAATTTATTATCGATATTATACATGAAGCAGCCGTTAAGCATTTAAGGCAAAGCTTTGCAGTTAATTCGTACTTTATTTATTTGTATTATATTGCACCTTGATATTATTTATTTACGTTGCATATGAGTAGTTGTTACTTAAGTGACTACTGACTAATAATACTGTTTGGCTGCTTGATGTGTATTTAGTATTGTGTTTCACATTTTCATAAAGTACTAAATGGCAACTATTTTCTTCTATATACTGGTTTACTTATTTCGCTTTGCTTTGTCTCTATTGGTTTATTTCGTATGATTTTCTTTTGAGCATATCACAGAACAAAAATGATACATAGTATGTAGAGAGACTGGATTTTGGGCTTGTGTCTTGGATTAGAAAGTTCAAAGTGTAAAAATATTAATTGGAGCTTAAAAATATACTTTACTTTATATTTATAGTTATATGTATATGTATGTGTATAGTATATATGTATATCTATTTGCAAATGTCATTTTTATTGTGTATATGTTTATATAAATTTTGATATCATTAGAAAAATATTGAGCAAAAGTATTCTGTATGTCGGATTGGGTTTATAGTTGGTTCCTAACTGAAATTGATGCTCAATTCCTAAATAAAACCAAAGCGCTAACCCAAGCCAAACCTACACGAGTATCTTGTCATAGGACGGCGGCGGCGACTCATCCAGTGGCACCTGTTTTCCCAGCACCGTCGGTGTCTGTTCCGGCAACAATATTGCTATATGATATGGCGGCGGTCCAGCGGCAGCTGCGGCCGCCGTTTCCGCACTCACCTCCACCTGTCGCCCATCCAAATACCTGACATTGTTCAGCTCCAGCATGCAGCTGCTGCTGGCATTGCCGCCAGCATTCACGGCCCGGCTGTGACAAACGGCGCGCCCATCGCTGCGGCTGGGTAGCAATCCCTTGGGTATGCGGCACAGGGACACCATGCAGGCAGCCAAAAAGAAAGTGGCCGAGAAAGCACAAAAAATGAGCACCTCCAGTCCGGTGCCCTGGTGATCAAAGTAGATCTTTGCGCCCGCCACAAAAACCGAGGCCAGCACCAGCGAGGCGCACATCCCGCACTTCAGATGACTGGGCAGCATCTGCGAATCGGCATGTTGCAACATCGCATGATGCTGTTGCTGCAGCTGGTTGCTTTGTGCCGCGGCTTGTGTTTGTGTTGGCGGTATGGGCGTGGCCGAGGCAGACGCTGAGGCTGCTGCAGTTGCTGTTGCCACAGCTGTTGCGTGTCGCATGTTGCTGCTGGAGTTGTGCCGCCGAGGTGTTGCATATCGACTGTTGTTGGTGCTGTTGCAGCTGTTGAAGCTGCTGCTGTGGTTATGATGATGATGATAGGCGCTATAGGCATCATCCCTGCGGAGTTGGACAGAGATCCCTTTTAAATAATAAAAGCCCAAATGCTGCATAAAAGAAATCTTATTAACTTACGCATAGACGCCCGAATGTTGCTGAAGTTGTTGCTGTTGTTGTTGGTGATGTTGTTGGTGATGTTGCTGCTGCTGTTGTTGCTGCTGTTGTTGTTGTGGGTGATGTTCATATTGCCGCACAGGCACAGCCATGTTGCCAAATTGCGGATGATGATAACTGTAGCTATAATGTTGCTGCTGCTGCTGATGCAGCTGCTGCTGCAACTGTTGCTGTGGCCTGGGCTGATAGCGCGTGCTGTGCTGATGATAATGTGAGCCATGTGCGACCAGCGGAACAATTGTTCCGCTGCCTGTTAGCACCGCTGCTGACGAGGCTGTCACATTGGCATTGGCATTGGCATTGTTGTTGTTGCTGGCATTTGTTGTTGTCATGGCAGCATTGCTGCTGTTGTTGTTGTTGCTGCTGTGATGCAACAGCGGCTGGTGATGCTGTTGATGCTGTTGGCTGCTGGCATGTGCATTATTATTGCTGCTAGAGTAATGCGACGTCTGGCGACTGGTGCCTGCGCCCGTCTGGCAGTCGCCTCCATAAGGCGCTAGCGTCCGATGCACCGAGGCCAGCGCTTGGTTGTGGCTGCCACTGCTACCGCTGCTACCAGCAGCCATGCTGTGGGCGCTGTTGCTGCTGGACTTGCTGCGCCGTGGCGGATGCCCGTAGCTGAGTCCGCCGCCCGCGTGCGACAAGGAGGCGGCGACACGTGAGCGCCCAAAACCGCATTGCTGCGAGCGTTTGTCAATCCAGAAATGCATGTCCCGACGAACACTTGACGACTGCAAAGTAAAAACTTATGTTAACAGATAGACGCCAAACTTATTTGAAGTTTATGCTGGGAGTTTGGGACATTCGCCACTTAAGCCAGACAAAGTGCATGAGTCATTTGGCTTTGTGTCGAGCCACAAGCGCCAACTGGGCTTGCCTAGACGGAAGAAGGAATCTCTCTCACACACTGAGAGAGACACACACAGCCACACACAACACGCACACACAGTCACACACATAGCTAAACAGGAAACGTGCGCATTGCTTTTTATTATGCTGCACTCCAAGTCTGTCTGCTGTTTCCTCTTTGTGCGTGATTTCAAGTTCAACTACCCCACAAAAAAGGGACAGAAGCAGCAGCAGCAGCAGCAGCCCCAAACGGCTGCCCCATCGCAAGAACTGCATAGGTAAGCGCTAAACAAAGGCTGCTGCCTGATCAAATAACCCCCCAAATGATAATAGCAGCAACAGCAACAGCATCAGGGGCAACATTTTGGGAATGTACTTTCACTTCCCGTGTCATTGGCAGCAGCCGAAACAGCCACGAAGAACTGGCAAACTCAACAAACTTAACACAAAAGTTAAGCGCGCCAAAAATGAAAGCGGACATTCACACGCCGGCTGCAGGATGGAGGCGGTGGCAACGGCCGCAGACCAATGTTGCAGCCACACAAGGTGCGTCGGTGTTAGAAAGGACACGTTCGGGGAATTGCACAGTGGACTTGGATGAACTTCGATTATCTTATGCGCAATTAAAACAGATAAGTTAAAGATAAATTTAATATATATTTCTTGAATACGACTAGTTGCTTGATTCGTTTGTGAAATAAGCTTTTCTGCGAACATTGTGTCAACTGTTTCCGTGGTGTAGCGGTTATCACATCTGCCTAACACGCAGAAGGCCCCCGGTTCGATCCCGGGCGGAAACAGAAGGACTTAAATTTTTTGGCCAATTTAGGTACTTTTTTACAAAATTTTGAGCAGGTTTTAATGTTAATAATGATAATGAATTTGGAATCACTTTAGATTATAAAGTTGTTCTTTTTTATTACTATTTAAATTGTATTATAGACAAGTTTTAGGCTGCTTTCAAGATCTGCGATATTCGTGCAATTGTACATAGATCCATTAAAAATTAATAAATTTCAAATTATAATTGTCTTAATCTATTATTTGAAAAAAAAAAAAAATAAAATTCAGGTTCTATATTTAAATGGCTTTTCTGGAGTCAATTGTCCCACTGTTCGCTATGTATATGGACAATGTTTACATTTGCGTTGCCGCTTAAGTCGCTTGGCTGTTCATTGAACTGTTCGTCGTTGGTCTGGTCCGTGGTCGTTGCGGTGTTAGCCAATCAACAATGACAACCAAGAATCACATAAAAAGAGAAATGTCCAGAAAAAATAAATTCTAGCAATATATTAGAGCCAGAGAAAATCATGCTGCAAAGCCTGGCATTCAAAATTATGCTTGTTTAATTTTTGGAACCCTCTGTCTGCTGGTAGCCCAAGTTCGCAACGTGTCCGAGCGCTCCTGTCAAAGTTCAAAGTTCAACGCATTGCGTTGTCAACGACTTGTTCTTCGAGAAAAGTTACACAACGCACTCAGAGCTGAACGCACTCGCAAATAAATAAATACTCAAGCACAAGCAAAAGTAATAAAATAAACATACTCGTATTTAAAAGAGACATTTTGACAACCGTTTGATAGGTTCATTTCAGCCAATTGCTCAGTGCGTGGCATCTCCACCCGCATCCTTAGTTGTCCTGCAGAATGCCTGATATGTTTGCCTCTATTCCAAGGTTCAATGAATTGTGTGCGTTTGATTTGTGTTTCCCCTAACCTGAACCCCTTCTTAGCTTTTCCATTTTGTTTCAGTTTAGAGAAAGAGTTTAATTTAGCTGCTTCGTTTACCTTAAGTGGTCAAGTGTTCTTCAGAATTTTCGGGACAATGCAAAAAAACACCAATATTAATGGGAACTGACGTTGCTTGGATACAGCAAGTGATTGTATTTCAGCTATTTTAAAGGCAATTCTAGCATTGATATAAAAGCTATTGTTGTTTAGACAAACTACTTAAGGATTGACCCCAGTAAGGGGTTCAAGTTTCATCTCGCACTACTTTTCATTCTTTGTTTTCCTTGCCTTGAAAAGCGCTCAAGAAATAAATTGTGTGTGCAAGCTTTTAGATTTTATCAAACAAATATTTATGCGCATTGTTGTGACCTCTAAGGAACTCAATCAGTTTTCATGATTCCAAATTCTGGAGTGTTCGAATAAACTAATATAATTTGAACACAATAATACATTTGTTACGTAGCATGTTGTCTGCCCTATGAATGGAAAGCACGTATGTGTGCATATGTACGTGTGTACTATATACATAAATTGTTCACTCAACGGGCCCATTATTCTATTATCAGCTTTTTGGCAGCTCCTCGCTGTGTTTAGCCACAATAAAAAAAATAAAATAAAATTAGCGAATCATTTGGTCGCATTCCAAAATGCCTTTAAAATAGCCACAAACAATTTGATTTCTTTTATTGAATTAGGTTTTTGGAAATGTGACTGCTTAAAATTGACTATTGTGCCGGCATGTTTCCAACTGTTTCCGTGGTGTAGCGGTTATCACATCTGCCTAACACGCAGAAGGCCCCCGGTTCGATCCCGGGCGGAAACAGATACGTTTCTTTTTTAGATATGTAAATTAAAAATGCTGAATCATTAAGCAAAAACAAAATATACAATATGAATTTGAAATAACTAATCAAGGAATAGCCAGTTAATTAATTGTGCCGCCTATCTTAATCATTTGCGTTTATATCTTATAACTATTCCAAAAATAACTAAAATGACATCTTTTGTATCGCAACTGCCACAAGTTATGTAATTTGAAGTCATTAAATCAAATAGGCAGAGTCTTGAAAATACTAAACAAGTTTTTGATAATAAAAGCTTTACACAAACTGGTGTTGGTACTCTGATTATACTATCTATCCTCTTGAATTTTGAATTTGCCTGCATAAGTATGCATATATACATATATAAAACATTATCTTTTGTCTTCGTTCTTTGTGTTATACGCAGTGTTTGATTTCCGTCTTTTTCGTTTTCGCTTTCTGATGTCTGCACGAACTTGTTTGTCGAGCCGGCTGACAAATTTCTCATTCCGTGCGCATGCAGCAAGCACAAAAGCTAACTCAAGCACGATAGTTTTCAACTGTTTCCGTGGTGTAGCGGTTATCACATCTGCCTAACACGCAGAAGGCCCCCGGTTCGATCCCGGGCGGAAACATGTAACGATTTTTTTTTTAATTTTCATGTTAATTATTGCGTTATTTATTTAAATTTAAAAAAGTGTAATGAATGAACAGTATACGTGTTTATATTAAACTATTATAAGTCAGGAAATATAAATAAATAAATGCATAGCGAACTTTTAAATGTTTAATCTGACTTTGTATACATATTAAATATTGGCAACGGTTTTGTCAACAAAATCAAGCGAAATAATGTTTATTTCGATCTCTCATCATGCCATTTATAATTTTATCTATGAGAAGTTTTTCTTACAAAAGCATAAAATTGCACTCTGAATATGCGGGTAAGAATTTGTTATAAAGTTTACAAACAAGTCTTTGTCCAGACATTTGCAATCCCCGTCAGCTTTCGCAAAACGAGTACCGTGTCGGTGGTGCTTGAACAGATGTGATGCTATGTAAAATATGCGAAACAAAAGCAAGAATTGAAAACAGGAAGCTACGCGACCCGCACATAAGGATAACGAGTCCCCGCAGCACAGACCAGCCTTTCACTCTCACTTTGTGCACTGGTCCTTTTTGCCTTTTTTATGTGATGGTTTGGGTTTTCTATTAACCCTTGCGGGCTCCGCTGTTGCTGTTGTAGCACTTTCCTTTTTAGCTTGGCGGGAAGTGAATTTATTGTTGACTTTGAAAAGCAAAAACAAGATGCGAAAATCAGTCTCAGTTAAAGCTAAAGTGCCCACTACTATGTGCCTGTCCATCTTTCTATCTGTCTGTCTGTCTGTCTGTCTGTCTATCAAAACGACATGTATTGCTCTGCTGCTGATGGCATACACTGCGTATAAGCAATGTGAGTAATTGCAATGCAATTCGGATGCGTTGGTGTGTTAACATAGGTGTCCGTATCTGTGTGCATTGGTGGGTGTGTAGTTGGGATTTCAAGTGCATGCCAATTTGGATGGCATTTGTTAACACTTTTTACCTGCGTTTATTTATTTTTATATTTTTTTGGTCTTTCCTTAACAGCTAAGCATTTTCTTTTGAATTCTTTGCTATATTTGCACTTTTGAAGCACATTGCTTGTTGTTATTGTTATTGTTGTTGCACGAAAAAGTCCTTGAACGCTCAACTGACCTGGCACGATACACACAGCACATAAAACAAATGGCAAAAAACGTATCCTTTTGCCAGCCTTGAATGAAACACGCGACCGTTTCACACCAAACCTGAAAACATTGTCAAATGCAGCGATACATTGATTGAAATATTGTACAGAGAATGCATAGATCGAGTTTTATTATGATTATATTCTAAACACTGCGCGCTTTTAAACACTCATTTTACGTGTCTGCCAATCTGCTGCCTCCTGCGCAAGGACCCGCAGCCAACTGACAACGCAAACTGAATTTCTGAATGCAGCTAGCGAAACATTTTCACTTTTCATGAGTTCAGATTCAAGATTATTTCTGCTTTCAATGTGTGTGTTGGTGCGTGTAGATGTGGTTATATGTGTGTGTGTTCGTGTATTGGCAAAGCAAATTCAGAGACTGCCAACATTTGTTTTTGCTTTCGGTATTGGTTACGAGTCGTGCGTGTGTGTGTGCATGTTTGTATGTGTTTGTGCGTGTGGGAGTGAGACTGTATGTGTGATTGTGATGAGTAGGTGGCCAGTGCATAAAAGGGGTCTCAATCGGCTCTCAAAACACGCGGCAGCTGTACGACACATGCGCGCTGAGAGCGAGAGAGAGAGAGAGAGAGAGAGAGAGAGAGAGAGAGAGAGAGAGAGAGAGAGAGAGAAAGAGAAAGAGAGAGAGCTTCCATTGTGAATGGTTTAAGAATGCGATAGAAAAAGCTTTTGCGAAAAAAATTCCTGAGGTCCACTGTCTGAGCGCAATACTAATAAACGAAGTTACAAAAAATTAAAGTTAAAAAATAAAATTACCTTATCTTATGTTCATTGTAAATAATGACCTGCAATAATCATACATACATATATATATACCATATCTTTAATACCAAGTGTTTGAAAATCGTAAATGCTCTGTTAAGCTAGGATTCATATCCCAATGTATTTAGGCTGGCGGCACTCGTGTTTCTTGGAATCGTACAACAAGCCTGGCGTACAGTCCAGGGTAACCCCACGACCCTCGACACAATAGTAGTAGGCATCACGGCGCGACTTGTGGGCATAGAAGTGGATACCTTGGCTGGGACAGACGACATCGGCGCGGCGAGGCGGTGACCGGGAATAGGGCTTAATATTGCGCTGCTGGGGCGTTTCCTGTAATGTCAGTTATAGAGTCAGAGTGAGACTCATAGCATGTCCGTGCAATTAACTCACTTTGCACTCAACATTGCTGGCATAATCACAGCAATTGCATTTGGGATTAAAGAACAAGCCACTGGCACACTCCTGTGGCCATGCCATGCCGTCGGAACAGATGAAATACTTAGAGCACTGCGCCTTACTGGGCAGATATCGAATACTTGAGATTGACATATATTGAGGGCAGTCGTTCTCCACACAGTCCACATATTCGGGAAAATCACAACGATCCGTTTCCGCATTGTACTGCAACCCGTCGTAGCACTCCCGTAGAACAGGTATTCCATAATAGCAGAGCACGTATTTGGTGCAGGTGCGATCGTAGCAGAAGCTGGTCAGATTGAAAGCTTCACATTCGGGCAGACACTTTACATCATTGTCTGTGGCGCTCACGCATGCCTGGAATTTGTAATCAAAAAGGATCTTGCAATCTGTGGTATTACCATTGCAAAGTTTTTCCACAGGTTCTTCCTCGTAACAGCTTCCGTAAGAAGTTAGATTACCACCTAAGAAAGTTTGGATGTACACGCAAATTAAAAAGGCCTTTTTTTTAGTAAGAAGTTCTCCCATACCTTCGCAGATTACATAATTGGAACAGTTGCCTACATAGGGCAGCAATGAGTCTGCCATATTCTCGCACAGATTTATGCCGGCCGATTCTAAGATAGGGACATCTCCATCGGTGTTCACGACATTATCTTCCGGGTCGGGTGCAACAATTAAATCAGAATTCGCAACAAGCTGCGAATGAACTCTGGCCCATGAGCATTGGACAGAGCCGCACAGTGCCAATCCATAGAGCAGCAACAAATTCACTGTCAATATATGATTAGACGAAAGGATTAGCTCATTTTGATGCAGGGCAACAACACAATACGCACTCCTTGACAGAACCAGTTACAGAAAACAACTGTGGGAAGCTCTCAGGCAAGATCGAATTTATATGGTAGCTATCTTTTTTTGATATCTTTTTTTTTTCTTTCTATTTTTAAGTTAAATTAATGAGTTTTTGGAAAGCAATGTTATCGCATTTCGGCACGCGCATCTCGTCTCCCAAAGGAAAACTACATTTTAATTTCGCAATTGATACGGAATTATCAATTATCTAATTTTGTCTCAGAAATTGTGTTTAAAACCGAGGCATGCAAACTTCTGACTAGCTCTTAAATTGAGAACTGAGAACTGCTTTTCAACTTTGCTGAACAAAATTTGCATTAACTATTTTGAGTTTGAGTTTAAATATCAAGTTTTCACCCATTGTCGACCCAGAAGGTGAATTTTACGAAAATGACCGAATATGATTTTTCAATGATTTAAACGCTTAAAACGGATCGCATAAAATCTATAAAAGTTTTCGAGAACATTTAACTTCACAATGTCGCTCAAACATATGTTTAAAGCAAATCGGATGGAATATTTCATATACACAACTATGCAAAGATCACCAATATCATTCAGACAATCAGAACACACAGCATTCTGTATCGACTTTCGAGAAATTTAAGAAATTGAGATTCTCTAAGAGTTTACAATTTTGTTTGTTTCGTTGTGTAATGCTTAGAGGATATGTCGTCAATTTATTTTACACATGCTCATTATAAAGATGTTGATAAGGCGGGCACTTGTTATTAGGACTGTATGAGACCGATAAGTTTCGAGTTTCCTTTTAATATTATTGTATATGTCGCTGTGATAAACGAAAGTTTATCTTTGCAATTTGAATTCTTGCACCGGGTCTGTCGTTAAATTACAAACATGTTTCCTTTCTGATGAGCAAGAACATAATCGTATCGACTGATTGCTAAAAATTCAGACAAGATGTTGCCTATAAAATGAGGTCTCCTTTACCTTGTGGCCACAGTTGCAATTTCGAGGCGGATAACAGAAACCCTACAACAGTGAGTACAGCCAGCTAATATGAACGTCTAAGCTCCAGGATCTTAACTCTGTGCTCTGCTGTGTCAGTGATAACAACTAGCCAAGTGCTGACGGTGCTGTCCTTGGCTTTGCTGATTGCCGGTGGACTGGCCGAAGTTAACATCTGCTCCAATGTGGTCGACAACCTGTTCCTGCCGGCTATTGGCAACTGCAGTAACTACTACCTATGCGTGGGTAAGTGCCTGGAGATTGCATACATGCCAAATTAGTAACGCCAAGTCTTTGGTCAGCTGGCAAGGCTGTGCCTCGCTCCTGCAGCGACAATTACTACTTCGATGCCCGCGATCAGCAGTGTGTGGACGTTTCCGAGGTGCGCTGCCTGCCCAACTGCCCCGCGCAGGGTGTAAGCTCCTTCTGCTACGATCGCACCTGCACCAAGTACGTGCTCTGCTTCAGCGGCGAGCCGGTGCTGCGCGAGTGCGCCGATGGCCTGCAATACAATGCGGAGACGGATCGCTGCGATTTCCCCCAATATGTGGACTGTGTGGATAATCTTTGCGTGCGCCAGAACAATCCCGACAGCATTGTCTACATTGCCAGCAAATCGCAGTGCGACAAGTACTACATATGCGTGGACGGTCTTCCAGCTAATCAAAGCTGTGCCAGTGGCCTGCAATTTAATCCCGCATGCAATTGTTGCGATTTTCCCTCCCGCGCCAATTGCACGGTATGCCCTTAATACTTATTTTCCTAGTCTTCCGTTGACCTTTCTCCTTCCAGGTCGAGTCTCTACAGCGCAATATTCAGCCATTTGCACGAGCTCCGCCACGCGTGGCCGACATCACTTGCCCGGCTGAGGGTGCCCACTTCTTTGCCCACAAGACACGCAAGGAGGCCTATTACTACTGTCTGAATGGTCGTGGTGTCACCCTGGACTGCACCCCTGGTCTGGTCTACGATGCCAAGCTAGAGGAATGCCGCGAGCCGCAATTTGTGAAAGCCTGAAAGGGGATGTCAGCAAAATAAATTTTTAAAGTTCATCCAATTTGTTTGCATTTGGTTTATAGACGCTCATTGCAAATGCCTAGATCTGCCTCTCACTGGCTAATTTTAGCTGTTCAGGAAACGCTGCTCTCTGGCCCAAACAGGCGGCAAAAAACAATAGAACGAATATTCATTTCATACTGCTAACAATAGTCCAAAAATAGCCTGGGAAAATTAAACGCGAAGAATGCAATCTTCACTAGGTGCACACGATTATGTTAAAGGGTTTTAACTGGTTCGAATCCTGATATATCATTAATTAATACAATTAATATTTCAATTATGATGTGGCCTTAAATAAAAAAACATTTTGAGAGTCTAGCCCATAGTCAAAAATAACTTAAGATCCAGCTTTTCACCCAACCATATTTGTTAGATGCCAAGTCTGGGTAGATATCAACTGTAGTCCGCCTTTTGTACTATATAACAAATTGACAATTTGCAATACTTTCTGTACAACGGGCAATTGAGAACTAAAATTAAATTCTTGCTTAAACTTTTCAATAATTTACAAGACAAATCAAAATTAGAACCAAAACTTGGGTGCCAAGCCAAGTTGACGAATTGAGTCAAAGGCAAGGAGTAGATTTGAACCGGCAACCGCTGACCAATTTTGGATTTTTGGCTGGCAGACTTGACTGTTTTTAAACAGAGGCTTTGCAATTAATATTTGTATTTATTAATCCAAGTTTTGTTATATTTAAGCAAAGCTTATACCACAAAGACATTTTATTTTCCCTTCTGCTCAGTGGCCAATATATTTGGGCTCGCGACATTCTTTAACAACTGCATCGTACCACAGACCCGGCGTGCAGTCCAAGGTAACACCGTGGCCCTCAATGCAGTAGTAGTAGGCATCGCGGCGGGACTTGTGGGCGTAGAAGTGCACTCCATGATCTGGACAGATGACATCAGCGCTGCGGAGCGGTACACGGGCATACGGCTGAATATTGCGCTTCAATGCTGGAATCTAGTATTGCATATGAATAAGAGTGTATTTCAGTTGAATCCCTTGCTTCGACACCCACCTGGCAGTCAGACTTCTCTGGATAATCACAGCAATTGCAACTGGTGCTAAAATACAAGCCCTCGGCACAGGTGTAGTTAATGGGAACGCCCTTTGCGCACAGGAAATACTTGGAGCACGAAGCCTTGCTGGGTAAGTACAACAGCTCCGTCGTCTCATTTAGTCTCATGCACTCATTGTCCACACAGTCCACATATTGAGGGAAATCGCAGCGATCCGTTTCCGCGTTGTACTGCAGTCCATCGTGGCACTCCCTCAGAACTGGAATGCCGAAATAGCAGAGCACGTATCTGGTGCAGGTGCGATCGTAGCAGAAGGTGGTCAGATTGAAAGCTTCACATTCGGGCACGCATGTCGCACTATTTGGATATCCGCAGCTCTGGTTTCGGGCATTGAACTCGTAGTCCTTGTTGCATTGCTTCTCCACAGCCTCGCCATCTTTTGATGATTATTATTATTGAAGGCTTAACTAAAGCTAAACTCGAACTTACCCCAGCACAGGTAATACTTTCTGCAGTCTCCTACATACGGCAGAAAGACTCTATTAGCAACATCCTTGCAGAGACTAATGTTGTCTATGTTGTAGAGACTGCCGTCATCTAATATTATTTCTTCAGGGCCCGGCGCCTCAATTAGATCGATCTCTGTGCGATTACTCTCAGCTACAATTACGAATGTACGTTGCAAGAATAACAGATAGTATGCCACAAGCCCCATGAATTTGAAGGATGTCACTATTTGGAACGAACAATAACTTAAATAAGATTGAGAGTCTGGTGACGTTGGATTGCACCTACTTCTACTTCTTGACACTTTTCGAACTTGACTGGTGTCGTCATTCTGCAGCAACCCAATTTATATGGTAGATATCTTTGTTTCTTCGATATCAATTTAACTAACAGACTAACTACCTCTTATCACCATCATCTCTACGAGAGACCCGGCTCTATTGCTCTTATACTTAAAAAACATTTTAATTTGTGCGATAGCAGTTCGGTGTCATACGATGACTCAGTTCTGGGTAATTTTTATCACAGTTGGGAAAAATGAATACGTACTACAACTTATATCGTAATTTCTGCATAAAGACTTTGTTTTTGAAACGTTTGTCGCCTGGCGCCCGCTTAGAACTGTCTGTGCGTATATATATATATTTGGGAACCTACACATTATAGATATGTAGATATGTTTGTATATAAATTATCGTATAAAATATTTTCATTTTCAACGCAGTCATTTAGTAGGAACATTGGCATCTCGCAGCGCGTTTCCCAGCGCATTATTCTAAAATACAAGGAAAATATATATTTAGATATTTGAGCATAGTTTTGAATTTGTAGTGCAGCGCCTGTACATTCCGTTCTGTAAGTTTATATAATTGTTTTTGTTTTCCAAATGAGGGCCGTTCATTTCATCTCATGCACGTCAAGATGATTGACACAAATATTACCACAAAGTCGGTTCGAAACGAAAAATAGTATTTATAGACATGGGAGCTCTAATTGCGATTGTGTGTATTTAAAAAGAAAACACAGAAATGTCTAGTTAAACACAATTTGGGCGATATAATCATCGAGAGATTTCTTTTTCAAGGCACGGAAGTCAAAATGGTCAATGAGCTGAATAAACCCCAAGATAATGCCGCGTTGAGCGAGGTAAGTCAGGTGAAATTTGAGTAATGGTAAAAATTTGACTGTATGGGTTTTTGCCATTCATATTTTATAGATTCTGGCGGCTTCCAATCGACAGCTACAGGAAATGCAGGAGGAGCATCGCCAACTTCAGGCCGAATTAACGCGTTTAAGTGCGCAGCGCCAACAACTGAGAATGGCCACCAGAGAGCAGGTATCGGAGAGCATTGAAACCAGAGTTGAGTCGAGTTCTGGGACGGAGTGTGCAGCTTCTTCTGAGGGAGCTGCTGCGGTGCAAACAAATGTCACAGCCGATGACAAAGGCAATGCAAGCGACGAGGACAAAGAAGAAACCGCCAATTATCTGCAGCAAAAGCTAGCGGAAATTGCGAATTTGAAGGCGCAATTCAAACGCGTGCAGCAAATAACCGACTCTACGAAGCTCATAGAGCAGCATATGTCCAGCATGGAGTCGAAAACTTCGTCATCCTCGACCGTGCAGCAGAGTAGGCAAACCATGACGGCGCAGTCTGTACAATCCAGCAGCAGCAGCACTAGGGGCAGCGCCTTGTCCTCTGAGACGGCAACATCTGTAGAACCCACATCAGGATCCGTGCCGGACAATGCCGAACTGCTGAATGCAATGATTAATATGGTAACAGATTTTACCAGTGATTTGCGCGGCCAAGAGGAGAGTTTGCGGACGGAACGTCTACGGATAAAAACCTTAAAGGAGGAAATTATACAGCGCAAACAGGGCAAATAGAATAACACTTAATTCAATCATTATTTCCTTGCTGAATAACTTATATATACATATGTAATAAATATTGATCCAATTATAATTAGTTGTTCTATATGCGTACACGACTAAGCCCATTAAAAATTAACATTTAGTGGTTAACAGCTTTCCTCTCTATCTTTCTCTCACTCTCACTTTTACTCTTAATCTCTCTCTCTCTCTCTCCCAAGACTTGATTCTTTCCAATTCGCAAAATTGTTTAAGTTATTTGCGCTCTTAATATTACTCTCTCTCCCACCTCCTCAATTCATCTTAAAATCGCCTTTCTTTGTTATTTTAAGCAATTTAGTAGCTTTTAAAAAATTTGTTTTTTTGTGTTTAAATAGTTTTTTAAATAACAGATTTTGCGCTGCATATTTCGTGACCATCAAAATATCGATTACACGCGACTAAAATATCGATATACAGATCGTTAATGCAGCTTTTAACTATCGATATTAAATAGCGCATCACTATCAGGACGCAGCTGTTTGCTTGTAAAAAAAATCGGAATCTCGTTAAAGATAATTAAAAAGCTGGGTTAATAATTTTAAAAAACTCAAGAGTACACATAAGTAAAAGTTCGGCAGTTGATAAGTGTGCTGACTTTCTAGTTAAAACTAACTTGAAATATTTTGATGTAGTAGGTAGTAGGTGCCGCCTACAGAGTCAGTGTTAGTTTATACTTGATAACTGTGGAAGTCGTATATGTATATATTTTCTGATGGCGCCGACACCGCCCGTAAAGATTATAATGAAAAACGAATGTGATACAAATCGTAGTACCGGAGCAGTACCCAAACAAGCAACCACCGTAACAACAGCTACAATAACACCGCCGGCAACCATAAACACAACGCCGCCCACGACCAGGTCCAGCGCCAGCCGTGCCCGCAACTCGTCCCTGATCAAGCAACAACAGGAGCACCAGCAGCGGGAGCGAGAAGAGGAAATCGCGGCACGAATACAGCGCGGCACCTGTAAAACGCTATACGTAAGTTTTCACTTATGTAAATACGAGAATCTAGGCTTGATTGATATATATTGCTCAAATTAAGTGGCTGGACAGCATGCAGCTAAATTTTTTGTTCCCACGCCCCATATCAAAAATGAACTAACTATTAAATATTCTTGATGTGTTGCAAAGAAACCGGCAGCATGCCCTGCCGGCTAGCTTGTTTATATTGATTGAGCATACTTTGCATGTTTACTTCGTTGCCATGACGCCCCTTGTTAGCTGGCCCATCCGCTCTAGCGCTCTCTTTTAGCCATTCGGTTGCGCTCTTCCGTTTAAAAATACATTTCACACTCATTGTTTTTGGCCAAAATTTTCGAAATGTCTGTGGCGCCGTTTCAGTTATACAGACGACCTCCACAACGCACACAGCGTGAATTTTCCCAACCACTCGCCCAACCTACAGATCATAGTCTCGCATATTGTCATATATATAGCAGTAGCTGCAAAAATTGCCGCGTTTTTAATCATTGTTCTATTGGTAATCTTCATTTGTTGTTGCTCCAAGGATCTGCTGGAACGTGCAACGACAACAAAAACAGAATACAGCACCCAGCAACAGGAGCAACGCGAGGCACTGCGTCAGTTGGCCGCGGAACACAGTTACGATCCAACAGGTAAGTTAAGCAGCGAACAAGAACTTAGTATAAGTTAAAATCTGTACGCACCTGGGGCCAGGTTTTACTGCTCACATAAAATGTGCGCTAGTTCATGTTCTAAATATAACACAGCGCACAAAAATAAACGCCCACGGAGAGGGTCTTTCATATCGATCGCGTCGTGGGCAGCTGGCCAGCTTTGGCTGCGTCATTGCACTGATTTCAATTCTATATTCTATTTTGTGTGCTTTGCAGATCAACTACAGGAGCAGCATCAACGCTATTGCTTTCCTGTGCGTCCAGTGCAACGAGTGCAGCATCAGCAACAGCCCTCAACAACAGCAGGCGTACTGCGTCTGCGTCCGCCAACGACACCCAATGCCACAGTAGGTGTCGTCACACCCAACACGACCAACGGAAACGAGGAACAGCAAGCCATAACCAGCAGCACGAGCGTCAATAACAATTATCAAGCGCCCACAGCTTTGCAAACTGTTGTTCATCGACTCTTTGGTTCAACGCAGGGCTCAACACGCTCACAGATTGAAGTCTTGCGCACATTGCTTGGCTTGGAGGAAAATTGGAGCAGCGGCAGCAACGGACAACAGACAGCAGGCAGTTTAGTAGAGGTGAGAAAATTGTTGCTAATTGTCTAGCTCTAATTATAATTATTTCTACAGCATTTGGGCAACATGGTTCATGAAAACAATCCCAGCACCAGCGAAAAGGATGAAGGCATTGTCAATTCGACTAGCCTAGAGGATGTTGCATTAAGTGAGGTTTGTATACTAGTAAAATCCCTTCGAGAGTACATGTAGTATTAATTGTTTTAACAACTAATAGATGAGCGACAACCGCGCCCAGTCTATTCAATCGCTGCACAGTGCCATGGAAACACCAACGCCGGATACTACGCCCAGTTTTGATGACCTGCAGCAGCGCTTGGATGCCTCAAATCGCAATATGCAACATTTGCAGGATGAGCAGCAAAAGTTGCTGCAAATACAAAACATGGCTAAGACACACCTCAACGAAATGGAGCATCTGCGCCAACAGGCCGGACGCCTGCCGCACAACGGTAATGGGGATGCGCCAAACTATGAATCTGTTCAACAAGTCCAAGATGACATGGCCTCGCTTGTGGGACGGATGAAGAATCTCACGGCTTTTATACACAATCAAAATGAATTAAGCAGCGTGCTGGGCGATGATGGTCCTGAGATTTTGGCCGAACAGCAGGCGCTGCAACAGAAACTGGAATCGTTGCGTACGCAGCGAGAGGATATGCGAGATTTGGTAAATGAGCTAAACTGCATTAATCGCAAGGCCAAAGAGAAGGTACAAGCGGTGCGTGCCGCCAGCCAGGAGGCAGACATGCCAAAGGAGCTAACACCAACAAAACAGCAACCCAAGCCCAGCAATGAGCGCGTTGTACCCGTTGAGTATCAGCGCAATGTACCCATCTTGCGGCAGGAGGCGAGCATGGCTGCACAGCGTGCTCAACACGCTCAAAAAATGATTGACCAGAAGACTGCCGACATTGATGCGCTTAAAGCACAAATGAACAGACTGAAGGGCATGCTAAATACTGTCAGTCAGATTGAGGCGGGCACTCCCGACATCGGTGAGGCATTGGAGCGCCACAGCGCCGAGCGACATGAGCAACGGCCCCGGGATCTTTCACAGCGTGTACATGCCTTAAACGACGTGACATCGGAGCTGCGCGCTGAAGCGGCTTGCTTACAGCAGGAACGTGATCGAATTACTGCATTAAAAGCCGAAATTGAACGTCGCAAGAAGCAGGCCGCAGCTGCAGTACAAATGGGTGATGAGGCGCTTCAGCGGAACAGTTTAACGCCAACGCCTATCAGACAGCGTGAAATGGATGAGCAAGAGCAGGAGGAAATTTCAACGAGCCGAGCGCAGTTGCCTACGCGAAATGAGTTGCGTTCGCAATGTGAGAACTTGCGACAGGAGTACGAGCATAAGCAGCGCGAGTATGATGCGTTTTTCATGAACAACAATAGCAACAGCGGCAACAACAATATTATCAGCAATAATAACACGAACACCACTTCAGAAGCTGATGATGAAGGCAACGATGACACCGATAGCGATAGATATTTTGCACATATGCGAACTTCGTCTTCGGCTACCCTAAAGCGGACTCCCTCAGCTAGTACCGTTGTGGAGAGACATCAACAGCAGCAGCAGCAGCAGCAGCAACATCATCATCAACAGCAACAGCAACTTCAACAGCAGCAGCAACATCAACAGCAGCAACTTCAGCAGCAGCAAGATCAGCAACAACGACGTACTCAACAAAAACATCAGTCGGAGCAACAGCAACCTCCCAATGCTCAATCCATGTCAAACAATGAGGAGGATTTGAACATGACCATTGACAGCCTGTCGCTAGGTAATGACAGTCTGCAGTCGAGCAGCACCCGATCCCAATATATGCCGCCGCCAATGGCACCCGTTCAGGGCATGTGGAGTAAGCGGGAAATCAGCTGTTCAGCTTTATAAACTATACTAATCTGTACTCTCCCTATCAACAGACACACATAATGCTGGTAATTCTTGGCATTCACAGCCTGCCTATATGCCAGCAACTCCCACCAGTGGTCCGCCAGCTCCGGGTGCGGCCGCCTCTTCACAGGCTTCGAGTGCCAATCCAACGCCGGATGCTGTGCTGCTACAGCAGTTTATGCAAACTCAGCAAATGCTCATCAACTCGGTCTGTCAGTGCAACCAGACTTTGTGGCATCAGCAGCGTGAGATTGATGGCCTCAACAGTCAGATACATTCGGTGAGAATAGAGTTTAAAAAATTTAACTATTTCATTTAAAGATGATACTGTTTTTACATTTGAGCAGATAGTCGAACGAGATTTACTATTAAACCAATTTTACTTTTCATTTGCACAGCTGCAGGAACGTCTGAATGCCTCGTGCCAAGAGCACGCCTTTAGTCTTCGCTCGGAGTCTGTGCCGCCAGTTGCTGGGGGTCTTCCACCCAACAATCTCTGCCTGGGCGGCAGCGCTCGCGCCCAATCGGAGCAGATGTATAGCTTTGGGGCTGCGCATCAAAGCGCCTTCAGCAACTATCAGCGTAGCAGTCATCGCAACAATATCTACAGTGGCAGCGACCATCAGCCGCAAACATATTTAAACAATGCCGCGCCACCGCCGCCGCCGCCGCCAACACACTATAACAACGAAACACCGTTGTCGCCGCCCTCGTATCGCGCCAGTCCGGGACCGATATTTATGAATCATCATAACAATACCATACACCAGAACAACGCAAATTTGCGTACACAGAATCAGCATGCGAACAATTTGCATTCGTTGCCAGAGGATGCAGTTCCACCGCCCACACTGAATAATCAGGTGCCACCGGGCAATCGCGCCAACAACTACTGGGATAACTTCCGAAGGTAAAGCGCCATACTAAATATAATCATATGGTGTCGGGTTCTTTCTTATGGATTAGCCAGTTATTCATTTATTCTCTATTGATTTCTAAGAATTGGGAACCAAAGAGCTGTTAATTTAAAATCTTTTCCAAAGTAATAAAAAGAAATATAGAACGAAGTGCCTCGACCAAAAAAATGCTACGAACAATTTTAATTTATTTTTAATAAAATTTTCTAAAGTATATTCAATAAGTAAGTAGTGAGAAGAGAATATTCACGAGCATTATGATTGTGCCCAAAGTGCTTTATAACTGAGCTAACTAACGACTTTAACTATTTTGGTTACTTTTTTTGTTTTCTAAAAAACTAAAACATTTGTTCAAGTGTTTGCAATACTGAATATATAATTTATAAACTCCGCAAAAACCAATTGTCTGGTAAGAGTTTATAAATTTATACATTATTGTGCAAATATGTTTTTAGGAAATTTATGAATGTTCAAAATTTAAAGAATTGTTAACCAGAACAGACTTGATGAATATTGTACTAAAACGTTTTTCTTTTTGCATATTTAATTTTGTTGCTCGCTTTTATTAACCCATTAATATTTGTGCGCTTTGCAGCTATACGCGTCAGAATTTGCTTTCTAACAAAAGCAATGAGGAACTCAATGTGGAGCATCAATATCGTCAAATACAGCGACAACGTCAGCGTCCCAGTTACTTTCATCTACCACACACCGCACGCAGTGGCCCAAGCAGCTTATTACTACAGCAGCAGCAACAACAGCAACAACAACAGCAGCAGCAGCAGCAGCAACAACAGCAGCAGCAACAACAGGCACAGACGCATCGCCACTTTTATGAGGCATCAGCACAGCAGCATCTGCACAACAGCAGCAACAGCAACAACTTGAACAACAGCAACAGCAGCAATCGCGATTGGCGCAACAATGCCCACGAGGAGGACGATGTCGAGGATGATGATAATAATGATACTGCTATGTACGGCAGCAGTGGAGGCAGACGCCGCAATCGTCGTCGTCAGATGCCTACGCTGCGTGACGAAGAGACTGCTTTGCAGGAGCTCGCTAGCTCTGGATCATCTAACTTTTTCAACATGAATGTGAATAGTCCACTATATCAGCGCAATAAGGTTCCAGCTAAGCCAACTACGTCGGCTGTGTCTCTAACGCCTTTGCAGCAACGTCATCTGAGATTTGATTTCGAGCTGCCTGCTCAATATATGGACTACGATCTGCCGGTGCCGCCAGCCTTGCAGGTACCGCCAGTCGCTCCTTTATACAATGTTACAGGACAGGAGTCCGTTATTCCAGATGAGTCGAATGCGATGCTGGAACAAACAGAGGAGACGGCTTCGGAAGAGTTAAACCGTAACTTGCTTGTGAATGCATTAAAAAATGATAAATTTACCACAAAATTTTACGAATCCATCAAGGAGGATGTGTATAGAAGATTAGAAACTCTTTTCGAGCAGCAACAACAACAGCAGCAGCAGCAACAGTTGCAACAGCAACAAGGCGAACAGCAACTTTATAACGAAGTGCATAGTCTGCGCAAGACGCTCAATCAGGGGCAGGTACCCAGTGCCCAGCCGGGCGAGAATGGAACTGTAAGTGAGCTAACGGAGGCCACGGAAAGTGGCAATGAATCGTTGCAGGAACAGCTTGCTAACGACAGGCCCGAGGATGAAAACAGCTTGCCAATGCAGGCAGTTCCAGCAGCAGCAGCTGCTGCAGCTGGATCAGCATCAGTGGAGGAACATTCAGAGGCAGCTGCTGGACCTGCGCCCTTGGATAACGAAGATGTAAGTAGCTCTTGTTAATGCATTGCTGCAGCAGGTCATAGCACGTCCCACTTTTACTTTAAGCAAATAATTGAGGTGGTCATTGAACGTGCCGCCACGCCTGCGGCCAGCATTGAGTTGTCGCCCGATCACGAGCTTATTGAGTACATAATCAAACGTATACGCAACCAGACGCATAACAATACCATCATCAATGATTCGCTGTTGGCTGAGGTTTCCAAGTTGACTGCCAATGCGGCACAAAACTCCGCAGCCAGCTGGACGCCAAATGCCGCCTCGCCGCTCATCTCTCCCAAACGCATCTATGCAAAGATCAAGAAGATGGAAATGCCACGACAGCGCGATGAGTTTTTGCTCTGGTATCGCTCATATCTGGAGCAGCTGTTTGTGGTCGAGCAGCCGAGCACTGGCAGCACGCCGAAAATCAAGAGTAAGGAGGAAAGAGTTGCCCCGGTGAGCAACAAAAAACAGGTCAATAAACGCGTGCGTGCCCAGTCGCATTCGCAGGATTCCAACAATGATGCAGACTTGGCCGAGGCAGATCAGAAAAAGGTTACGTTAAACGGCGGCGACACGGAATGCGAGAATAATGAGAATCCCGACGAGGAGGCCAGCGCAGCTGCAGCTCAAGAAACGCAGAATATCAGCTTAGATTAAAATAAGTTAGCTAGTCCTGTAGGTGACACATCCAAGGAACATTCCCAACCATTCCCATATACTCCAGCATATATATCTATATATATACATATACCATACATATGACATACCCACATATACATACAAAATTAGTTACTAGCTGCATCAAGCAGCCTGTTTTTCGACTTGTCTTTTCGGTTTTTTTTTTAAATATCTAGTTTGTATTAAATTATATACTTATTATATATGTAAAACTCAAAAAGGGCGCCAATTTTTTTGTGATGAAGCTGCTGGAGAGAAGACCATCCAAATTCGATATAAAATTCAAGTAGCGGGCGAACAGAAAAATATCTAGGGTATTGCTCCAGAAATGGTACGGTTGTTCTTTTATATTTGACTGGCTTAGAAATGTAACAAAAATTTATAAATTTACAGATAACGATGAAATTTAACATTGACTCCCAACTATTTTAGTTCATCTGATTTCTTTGTGAGCTGCTCCAGCATACGATAGTAACAATAGCGACTGTCGTATTCCATATCATACCAAAAGTTGACAGCAATGCACTTATGACTCTGCCGCACGTGATGGAACCAATAGTTGGGCAGGTAGAGCACGTCGCCCGCGTGAACGCGTACACGCAAAGGACGCGCTTTCGCATATTGCGGGTGTGTGCCGAGGTCAGGTGCCAATGGATCAATGCTGACCCATTCAGTCTGTTGCACTTCGCCATTATCAATCAAGGGCTCTATGTAAAACTGGCCACATGATTTTCGCTTGTAGATGCCAGTTGGATAACTGCGACGTGGTACACAGCAGAGCTGGTGCGGTGGCAACAATATGAAATCCTTGTAGCCCGAAATAACGCAATACAAGTTCTCATAGGGATCCTTATGCATGGAGGTAATGGCACGCTCGTCGCCCAGCCAAAAGTTGACGGCATCAGGCGGCTTATTAAAGCACTGTGCTGCAAAGTCCAAATCACTGGACACGATATCGCCGGCTAGTTCCGGAAAGTCTAGGCTGAAGTTGGAATTTTGCTTTTGTATGTAGTGCACGGCACCCATAGGATCATCCAGACGCTGCAATAGCTCAGATAATGGCATTTGTGTTTCGAGCGGCAGCACGAAATACTCCTCCCCAGCCTGGGTGGCTAAGCCGTCAGCATAGCCATTGGGCGTGACAGCCACATCCACAACTTTGTCATTCAGTGCAGTCTGCAAATAATCCGGTGTCCACTTCTGCACTGCAGGCCAATGGGCCACAGCCTGCCGTATGACCACGGGTGCATTTCTAGCATAGAAGTCGCGTGCAAACTCCAATGCGCTGGGCATCTGCTGCAGCTCCGATATTTGTCCACCAATGCATAACTCTTCGGCTTCCTGAAGCAGCAGTTTTATGGCTGTTTCAATTTGAGTCTGGGCCATGCCGGTGCCATGCGCAAAGCGATAAATATTCTAAATTATCGATAAAAAAATACTACTTTCGATGATTATCGATTATTTGAAAAACAAACTTCGATTAAATATGTTAATCGGCTGCAGTGAGATTTTTAAACGAGCATAGAGAAGAGAATAATATAAACATATTAATAATGAAAATGAAAAAAAAACAGTTTGTAAGTAAATGCTTGGCCAAGGGTAATCGATAACTCAGCATAAATCGATAATTTATTCAGTTGGCAGTCGATACCGTTTGTTCTATACACAGCTGTTTTCAGAGATTCGGCCCAGAAAACATGTTGCTCTTGTAAAGTCGAGGAAAAGTCTAAAGAGTTAAATTAAAAACATTGCCAATATGCAGGAGGGTGACGAGCAGGAGTTCAACTGCATTGACGAGGCGAATGCCATCATAAACGATGTCAAGGCGCATGTGGCTGAAATAGCAATATCGTCCAAGCTGGCCAGCAGTGCCACGCAGATTTATCTTAACATTCGCACCATAGAGAGTGCCACCTGCTGCGTAGAAGTGACTAATCGAGGATTTAAAATAGTCTCCTCGCAATACGACACCATCGATGAAGACAAGGCACTAAGGTCGGTAGTGTTGGAGAACGGCGACGTGGAGCCGGCTGAGGAGATATTTGAGACGCCCTATGCGCTGCTAGACAAGATTAGTCCACGCTATGTGGAATCTTTTGGCAATAAGCTGTGTCAGCAGCTGCGGCAACTACAGCAAATGCGCACTGAATTCCATGAAGAGGACGAAGAGGAGGAGGAGGAGGATGAGTAACTAAAAGGCACTCTCCGAAAGAACAACTTCAAACTGAGGCTGTACTCATTAAACACAAGATTTTAATGTTAGTTTATTTATGTATTTTATGTACTCGTAACCGTGAAAGTATTTCGGATCGTGTAACAACCCAAAATCGAACCAGTTTAGACTTTTAAGCGTTTCAAGAATAAAGATTGTGATTGCAATTCCAAATCAGTTAGTTTGCGCACTGTTGGCCCCAACTGCTCCACATGATCCTCGTAGCCTGTGCCCATGTTGAGATTCTTCTGGCCGTAGACCACCTTGCCATCGAAATCATTGACCGGCACATCCAAAGACTTGTCCACCTGCTGAATTGTTATGTTCAGGTGATCTTCCACCTCGGCCAGCAAATTTGGTTCATTGTACCAGATGCAACAGCCGCGTACATCGGTTAAATTTGTGTTGTGACAGTTGCGTCCACGAGTCTTGCACCACTCGCCATGGTACCAAACCTTCTCTGGCACCGTCGACACCAGACTAATTGCAAGGCCCATACGCTCGGCGCGACCCACGCGGCCAATCCGGTGGACATAGTTTGACTTATCGTCCGGCAGCGTTATATTGATCACTGCAAGGTTGGGGAAGTTGAAAGTGTTTTCAGATAAATACTTTTAAGTCCTTACTGAATGGCAATCCCGTGATGTCCAGTCCGCGTGCGGCTACATCTGTGCAGATGAGAAACTTGACTTGCTGGCGCTTGAACATTTCCAGATTCTGTTTGCGCTCTTGTGGCTTGCGATCACCATGCAGGCAGACGCACGAGTAGCGTTGACCTCCACGCTGGCGTAGATGCTGTTCCAAATTGTCGCAGTCTTGTTTGGTGCGGCAAAAGATGATGGCGCGATCCATTTTATGCTGATCAATGGCCCGAATGCAGTACTCGCCCTTGAGAAGCTTAACAGCCTGCGAAAATGTCTCTGGAGATTGGTTTGTGGGATGCACATTATCGTGATCGTGTACACCATCAGTGTGTATGGGCTGACAGAGTTGCTGCCAGCTACTGTCTGTATGTGGGTCGACCATGCACACTACATGATGCACTGTCTCAGGGACAGCATCTTCGCCCTTAAGATCCACCCAGGTGGGAAAGTGCATCAAGCGTTCGGCCATCTTCTTCACTTCGAACGCATGCAAGGTGGCCGAGCAGACAATCATCTGCAGGCGGCAGCCATCACTAGTTAGCTTTGGTATTTGCTTGTGCAGCCGCTCAATAAGGTCCGTGTAGCCCTGTTTAAGCAGCGCATCCGCCTCGTCCAGCACAAAGAAACGACAGTGGGTAAGCTGCACAAAGCCGCTATTGATAAGCTCCTCTAGGCGACCGGGCGTTCCTACCACAATGTGTATTCCTTTCTGCAGTTCCGCTTTTTGCTCCTCCAGACGAACGCCACCAATGAGCAGCAGCGGACGTACTTCGGGATTGCTCAGATGCACCTTGAATTTCTCTATTTGATTGAAGGTCTGCTCCGCCAACTCGCGACTAGGTTCTATAATGATGGCCTGTGGCGCATTAGGCGCAGGTTTACTTGCAGCCGTGTTGGCTGCGGGGCTTGCCAGTGGATTGGCTGTGCTGTGTTCAGGACCCGCCTGACATACGGCTATATAACCATTGCCTGGTGGATACTTAAAATCCGTTTTGCCAAAATTAAACAACATCTCGGCATTTTTCAGTACAACAGCTGGATAAAAGGTATCGTTGCGCAGATTTTCGGGTATTTTAAATGCCACACCCAAGGACGTGCCGTTCTTGGTGAAGCTGACCTCTAGTCGCTGTAGGTCTAGCATACAGCCGACCACATCTGCCTTTCCAAAGGCATCGCCATAATCATCAAATTGACGGTTGTTCGACTTCTTGCCCGTGCCGCCAAAGCCAAAGCCATACCGACATGTGCCCAGATCCAAATTGGCCATCTGCGTAGACCAGCCCACACGACACAAGCCCTCGTCGGTAACTGTCGCTTCGTAATAGAATTTTGCTTTGCCATAGACGCCAGTGGTGGCCCGACAGCCGTGCCATTCCTTAAATTCGCGAGATTGGCAGCGCAGGCCATCCGGAGTTACGGCCAGTGCATTATTTCGATCGAAGAAGGACATAGTCCAAGGGGCAGCAGCTCCCGCTGTCCCATTGCCAGTTTTACTCGACTTACCCGCTTGCAAATCGCGAATTGTTTCCCACACAATTTGAAGAATGGGCAAACAGAAGGCGCCCGTCTTGCCGGAGCCTGTTTCGGCAGCCATTAACACATCGCCTCCGCCCAGTATAAGTGGAATGGCCTCTGCCTGCACGTCCGTGGGTAAACTTAACAGACAAAAACACATATTTGTCCAGAAACCTGATGAAATTGTTTAATTTACAGCTAACTTACGTCCAGTCTAATTCATCGGTCGCTTTGCCCAGTTCTGGCAGCACACCAAACTCTGCGAAGGCATTTGAGAAGTATTAAGGAGTTCAACGTTTATTTAATAGGTGAATTAATCTATAGACTTGCCTTCAAACGCAGTCATTTCTCTTTTATTCACTTAAAAATAGCTATTTGTTTTTATCTCTGCACTTTCGAGACCGGCTACAATATTTTCACCAAAGTACTCAATTGACATTCACCATGTACTCACTTCAGCAGGGTACGCTAACACTTGACAGCAGAAGCAAAGCAAGCTATGTGTGTTCCTTCGCAAAGATTCTGATTGCTGCCCATAAAAAATCTATTTTAGAATTGCAATGGGACTAATAATAAATAGCTCTCAGTTCATGTCATCAAATACATAATATTTGCCTTATATGAGAGAATAAAAATATCATTGCTGATATGCGCGACTAGCATACTATCCTTAAAGAGTTGCCAGCCTTTCCAATGAGACGTATTTGATGTGTTGCAGAACGACAGCTTAACAGCTGTGATTTTGAGTCGTTATGCAACACTTATATTTGTATACGCGTAAATCGTAGTGATTTTTTTTATTAAATTATGGCAAATGTTTTGTTAAAGTGCTAATTAGTCAATAGACATGTAAATTTTGTCGTGTTATTTATTAGTAACTAAAGTGTGAGTACTTAAGAATGTTAATTTGCTGGCAAATTATAACAAGAATGCCTTTTTTTCTTCTGAAAAACAGCAATTTGCTCGCTGGAGAGAGGATGTACTTTCCTTTGGGCTGGCCCAAGCGCGTCAGCTTGGCACTGCCTGGCGAAGCGACTCACATACGTCACATAAGCTGTGATGCTGTCAAAATACTCGTCGCCGCCGTTGACTCGGATATTCTGGGGATTTGGTATGCGAACCCTCTGCTGCCCATTGCTTACTATCGACGCAGCGCCGAATCTCTGCAGGAGTTTGGCAGCAATCAATTGATCATATGGAAGCCCGACTCGAGACAACTGGCCGTGTTAACTGACGCCGGTGCATTGCTGTTGTATCAATTGGACTTTGATGCCAATGGCAGTGGGATACTAATGCAGGTAGATCCGCCTGCATTGAGTCTGAAAAGAGATTCAGCTGAGCTGTTTATCAAGGAAAACATTCCCCGCCTGAGTCTGCGCGAGGTGCGTTGCTTAAAGCTAGACGCTGTCATCTCCACTGTGTGCTGCATCAGTCTGAGTGAGCTGCTTTTGGCTACGGAAACATGTGAGCTACTGCGTCTGCAGTGGTCACAGCTGGAAATGGTCACTGAGGAGCTGAAACCTTTGGCTGTCATTAAACTCCGCGACATTCCCTTCTATGTGCAGCAACAGCAGCAGCAACCCGCTAAATATTTGCCGACCATGGGTAACTCGGCCTTTGTGGCTTGTCTGGAGTATTCACCCTTTATAGGTGGCTGTGCGGCCGTATTCAGTGACCAGCGTGCAGCGTTTCTGGTAGCGGATCATCTGCGTTTCGAGACGGCACACATGCATGGCTGCTGGGTGCCAGATGTTGCGGATGCTAGTGTCTGCAGCGTGAACCATAAGTTTCGACTGTTGGCCTACGGACAGCAGAGCTCAGCGGTGGCTGTGTACGCAATAGACGATGCTACGGCCGGCTTGGAGTACTCACACAGACTCGTGTTGACGGAGAATGTGCCGCCTGGCAGTTTGGGCGCTGTTAACGAGCTAAAGTGGAGTCCTGATGGTTGTGTGCTAGCTGTGAGCTGGGCGAATGGCGGCTTGTCGCTGTGGAGCACCTTTGGCTCACTTCTGATGTCTACCTTGAGCTGGGACTTTGGACTACATGTGGACTTGGTTAAGCATAATCCGTTGCAGCTGCGTCGCTTGGAATGGTCCACCGAGGGCTATCACCTGTTTATGACGTGCCGCGAGGGCGAGGACAATGTTCTCCAGTTGCAGTTCGTGAAGAGCGCCTTGAGCATGAATCCCTGCATGAGCGCACATTCGCATATTCTGCTTCAAGGCGACGATTGCTTGTACATCAATCAAGGCGATAATTTGGAGCAGACCTACGGCAATGCCAAGTGCACATTTCCCAGCAGCTCAGCTGGCCAGAATGACGACTGTCTGGAACTCAAGCAGAGCCCGAATATGGGCAGCATTTTAACGGAAAGTAAATACTGGACGCTGCTGCAGCTGCCTCTCAATTACGCAGCAACCAATTGGCCAATACGCTATGCGGCCATAGACGCAGCCGGCCTACATGTCGCCGTAGCGGGACGCACCGGATTGGCGCACTATTCGATGCTCAGCAAGAAGTGGAAGCTGTTTGGCAACGAGTCGCAGGAGAAGGACTTTGTGGTATCCGGTGGCCTCCTCTGGTGGCAGGGCTTCATTGTCATGGGGTGCTATTCGCTGCTGGATCGCACGGATGAGCTGCGCTGCTATCCCGCCGAATGCAAGCTGGATAATCAGTACGGACACAAGCTACAGGTGCGAGCCCCTGTCATCAGCCTGAATGTGTTCAGGGATCAATTGATTGTGCTCACGGCTGACGGCATAGTCAGTCTCTTCCATATGCACAGACAGTCGGCGTATATCATAAACATAGATTGCGCCTATGAGCTGGACGTAAAGAGCATTTGCATACATCCTGCTTGCATTGTGAGCCTCACAGTTACCAATCTCAGGAACGAGCTGAAGCCACAGCAGCAGCAGGCTGAGGCAGAGACGATTGTGGTCAATGTTTGTGGACG